AGATCTTCTAGAGGAAAGAGGTGGGTCTCTAGCAGTCGCATGGCATGACCAGTAAGAACACAGGGTTTGTCTTCACATACTGGGTTTGTGTTCCAGTTCTTTCTTAAAGCACTGTGGCTGTTCTTGGTTTGGACTCACATCTGTTACAGTAATGGTAGCCATTGTAACAGGGAGATTCAATGCAGTGTAATGGCTCAGACATAATCAGAGTTCATTTCTCCATCCTGTGACTGTCTGGGGCAAATCCTATAAGCAGCAGGCAGCTGTGCTCATGCAGTGAACTCAGGGATGCAGACTCCTTCTACATTGTGGCTCTGCCACCCTCTAGGTCATGTGATTGCAGCTGGTATAAGGAGAAAGAGAGTGCCTGAAGAATGCAGACCCCTTCTTAAAAACCTTGGCTGGAATGAAGACATGAAGACACCTCACACCCACTAACATCCCATTGGTGAAAATCAATCATGAGTCACATCTCAACTCAAGGGGATGGTGAGTGGGAATGCAGTCCCTGTCTGTTCAGCTGCTTGTCAGGAAATACCCTGTGACTATGAACATGATGAGGAGGCATACATTTTGGCAGATGGCAGGCTATATCTGCCATAGGGCTGTTTATCAGAGACAGCAGAGAGGACATATTCTGTGGAAGGGAAATCACTGGATGACAGATGAAAAGTTTGGAAAGGTAAAGAACTTAAGAAGGAGTCAACCAGGAAGCAGGGCAGTAGGCTGGAGAACAGTGAGATTAAACCCGTGTAAAAGCCAGGGTAGGGGGCTCATCCCTCAGCTAAGAGGAGAAGCATCAGACATCAGGAAGAGAAGAGTGTCACCAGTTAATGCCAGTGTCAAAATGGTGGATCCTGATGATCAGAGACTTTCTCTTCTAAGGAAACCTCCCTACTTGGTTCTGTGCTGGGGGCTAGTGTTACTGGAGGGGCTGAGGTTTGCTTCTACCCTCAAACAGGAAATGGAGACAAAGCTGAATTCAGGAAGTAGATGAGGATCTTTGGAGGCTGTGTAATACATACACACACACACACACACACACACACACACACACATAGAAACAGTTGCGTCAAAAAAGTGGCACACATGCTCTTTAAAGATGAAATGATGGGCGCCTGGGTGGCTCAGTTGGTTAAGCAGCTGCCTTGGGCTCAGGTCATGATCCTGGAGTCCCAGGGTCGAGTCCCAGGGTCGAGTCCCACATCCGGCTCCCTGTTAGGCAGGGAGTCTTTTTCTCTCTCTCACCTGTCCCCTCTCATGCTCACTCTCTCTCATTCTCTCTCTTTCAAATAAATAAACAAATAAATAATCTTAAAAAAAAAAAAAAAAACCATGAAATGATGACAGATGAAAATGAGTTGGTGTTTGTCAGAAATTGTCCAAACCTTTTGTTGTAAGGAACTGAACTTCCCTACATTGGCCTCACCTGGCATTTCTACCTTAATTAGCTCTTTGTACTCTTGATGTATTTAAACATGGTACCAAGGGACAGGTAAAGAATAATGAGGTGATCACAGAATGAAAGCACAAGTAGATGAGTACATCCATGCTTATTTCATCACTGTTTTTAGTGGCAGAAATCTAGAAAGATCTTTAATGTCTATCATTTAAGGGAATGGCTGAAGAAGGTATTTTCCACAATGCTGGGGATTACTATACAGCTATTAAAAAGAATGGCTTAGATCTGTAGTACTGACCTGGAAGGAGGTCCGTGGACAAAGCAGGTCGCAAAGTACTGTTCTATGGGATCCCACCATTGTATAAACAAACTGAACCACAAAACCCATACGTGTGTGTCTGTCTGTGTAAGCATGGAGAAAAGTGTGTAAGAATACATTCCAACTTTTAACATTGACATTTGGAGGAGGGACTGGAGTTTTTAACTATTTAAATATCTGTCTTGTAAGTTAATGATTAATAAACAAGAAAAAAAACCCACAAGAGTGTTCTAAATCTCAGAACCTGGTAAAATACAGAATTCTTCTTCCATCCAAAACGTGATCATTCTTTCAATAATTACTTACTAAGGATCTACTCAGTGCCAGGTGCTTTCATGGACATTATTTTCTTTAAGCTTTAGAATAATGCCAAGAGATCTTATTTATAGGTGATAAAACAAGAGAAAACAGAGCTTCATAACTTGCTCAGGGTCAGGTCACGGAAGATGATGGAGTGAGCATTTGTGCCCAATCCCTCTGGCCCCAGAGCTGGTGTACACTTGCCTGGACTGCCCGCTCCTAAAATCAGGAAGAGAGGTGGCCTTATTCCCTATTTCTGAGGTCAGGCAACCGAGCATTCTAACAAAGCCTGGTTAACTAGTAAGGGTCCTAGTTTATGAACAGAAGGGGGACCTAGAGCAGGTCAGAATCCTGTTGGGAATAATCCCAGTGCTTGTTGAAAAGCCTAAGTGGAAGGACTGGAAAGATCCAATCTTGAAAGAATCCCCTGGAGGTGAGTCACTTGGTGACACCTCTATGAGGGCAGAGAAGTACACCGGGTAGAATCTTCTCTCAGAGTCTCAGGGGAATGGGAAGAACTGCTTTGCCCCCGGAGGTGTTTCCGGGGGCCCTTGTGTGTGTCAGCACACTCTCGTCCTTCTCCAGCTAGGAGCTCTCTGGCTATAATGATGGGCTTCCAACAACTGAAGAACTGAGAGGCCATGGGTTCCTTCAGAACACATTTCCAGCCAGAGAGAGCATTGTGGGAGACAAAGAAAAAACTCATTTCTTAATTTTTATTGGAATTGGCAATTCTGGTGAGGATTTTAAAAATTAGTCTCCCTTCTCTTGGTGGGCTGAGCTTTAGCGTCACGACTTGAGGCTGTGGACGACCCAGGAGGTTTAGGTCACACTTCTGCGTTGATGTGGGCCCAGATTTTTGTGGCACTCTTCTTGGTCGGCTCTCTCTAAAAGTTTCAAATTAGTAGGAATACGTTTTAATTAGACAAAAACATAGATATTTTAGAAAAATGGTTACAGAAAAGCTAAAAAAGAACATCTAAGGCGGTGGTTCTCAATATGAGGATAGTGTTCAGGCCACACTCCGGACCAATTAAATCAGTGTCTGTGGGGCCAATGGTTTCTACGGTTCCCCAGGTGCTTCCACTGGGCATCTGAAGGTGAGAGCCTCTGGCTTACTGACAAATATTCTCACCCAGCTGCACTAGCCAAGGTCTGGCAGCTGGACTTGGTCTCTGGCTGAGGTCACTCCGGGAGATGACTGACAGCTGGTACAGGACTAGAAGCTCAGTTAGAGGACCCCTCTTTGGGGCCCACCCTTCACTCACTGGTTAGCAACCTATCCTGGTCAAAAGCCAACTCACAAAAGCCAAAATATATTTAAGGGCTGCAGTATTTTTCCATTCTATATAAAAATAACTTGAAAGAGGCCCATAAAAAAATGATTAGTGTTACAATTTTAGATTACCTATTTTGTTACATAGAAGACTGAAGATTGGCAACTCTTACTTATTTAAAATATCTATCTGGGTATTTTAAAGAAAGGGACAGGTAAACAGTTGTCTAGACTTCTATCTTCATGTTATGTAAGTGATGTAAGTGATGAATCACTTAAATAAATTCTGCACCTGAAACTAAAAATAAAATAAAATATAACAAACTGTCATCAGATTATATCATGGACCTAATTATGAAACCAGGTGGTCTGTGGGTGGTTCTGGAATGTTGATTGCACATCTCTGCTTTAGTTTATGATCTTCTAATGCATGCATGGACATTACCTAATTAAATCAATTTTGAAACTCTACTTATTGGGGAAAATCTGTATTTATATACTTTAGACTTGGCATTTTTCTTTGTAAGACCAAACAGAAGTGGTTAAAATCTGAAACATGGCAACAGCTGGCCTCAGGAAAAGAATAAACACAAAGCATCACTTGTTCATGTGGCAAATTTGGAAAATGGAGTTTTGATGCGCTAACAGGCTCTAACAAGACCAGGAGTTTGTAGATGGTAAAGCACCAACATTCCAGATTGATAACTGAGCACTGACAGAGTGCTAGTTCTGATGTTGCTCAGGTTTTCTTCTTTGGATCACACACACACACATACACACACACAAACTCTCACACACACACCCAGTTTCACACATGCTCTCTCACATACACACACTGTCTTATACACACACTCACACACTTTCACATACACACACCCTCTCTCTTTCATGCACACACTCTCTCATACACACACTCTCACATACACACACACACTCCGACACCCTTCCCAATCTTCTTGGCAATTCTCTGCTTTGCTTTCCTCTGGAGCACTTTATTTTTTTCACTGACTAAAGCTTCACGATGGGGAGTTCATTTGAGGAAGTGCGAAGAGGTTAGGAATATAGCCTGTGTCGGGCTGGCTAGTGAGCAAAAAGACATATCCTATGAAACAAAGTTTTAATTTTTATTTTACATATTTATACATAAAACTTTCAAGGAACCCTCTGAATCCAACAGAATGTTAATAGCACATCTAAAAATGAACTTCAGGTAGTCAACATTCACAAAATGTTGAAAACTGATTAAAATGTACTTATTACGGAGAGCTACAACTTCACTACGAGGCAGGCATGTATTTTCTGACTTTATAGATAGCACCGTCATTTACAGTTCTTCTTTAAAACTACAGTGAAGAATGAAAGTAGTCAGTGGTAAAATACTGCTCCAACTTAAAATCTCTAAACAAACAAACAAAAAATAATAAAGTTAAAACTACCCTCTTTGAGAACCATGACTTGTGATGGTGTCAGTACTGTACATTTTTTGTAACAATATTTTATTAAAATGCCTGATATTTAGTGGCACAGTAAAAAAAATTAAAATAAATTAAGAAGCAAAGGCCAATCACTGGACGTTAAGCTTCAGACATTATCAATGACTAACACTGATATTCGTTTGTTTCTGCGCCACCTTTAGCAACAGCATTTTTACAACCACAGAAGCAAAAAAAATTTTAGCTTGTCCTCCAGTCGGATGGCTTCTTTCACTTGGCAGGCATTTTCTCTGCCATGTGCTTCTGCTGACTTTCCGCGTGTCTGTAAAAGGAATCATACGGTTATTTAGTGCTAAGACGAATGCTCCAAACTTCTTTCTAATGCACAGTTACAACAATCCCCCAAACTGAGCCCCAGAGTTACTCACAGTGGAACCAAGAGAATTAAGTAACAGTACTTATTTCAACAGATTTTGCCCTCTTTAATTTGTATATTCTCTGTACGATTCCTTTTATTAAATTACTAGATTAACCTGAGAATGGTAGATGTCATTACTTTTGAGAAGAAAAAGCACTGTGTTTTTAAAAAAGGAGGTAAGTATCTGGGAAAATAGAGCCAACAAATGAATATGTTTCTCTGTCCCAGGTACTGCTCCTGGTGCCATGAATTTGGTGGTGAGCAGACACTGGGGTCTTTGGTTTCACGGCACATATATTCCAGTGGAGAGGGACAAAAAAGGAACCGATAGCAAAAAAGGAGAGAGCCGGTAGTATATAAGTGCTAGGCAAAAAGTCCAAACCAGGTGTTGTCAAAAAGGGGAACCGCGTGGCTACTTTATCTAAACACACGCATGCAGACACAAACATAAGCATTCAAAAGGCTCTTGACAGAAGTTAAAGCCAATAGAACCATTATATATAAAAAAAGTATATATATATATATGAGATATATATACATATATATTAGAAGTTAAAGCCAATAAAAGCAAAGCCAGTTCCCCCCTTACGAAAGCTAATGTTTCCTAACAAACTGTGGGTTTCTATAGATATCAAGATTTTCCATGTTTGCATACTCCCTCCCTGCCCCACATTAGTTCTAAAGCCATCATCATGGCGGTGAGGCTAAGTGGCTGGGTGGGGTGAGTCTTTTTAGTCATCGAGCCCTATTGCGGCCCATGAGCCCCACATTCAACCAACCCAGCAGCTGGCCAGTGGAGACGGAGGGGGAAGAATGGGAAAGCTGCTGACATCACTTGAATGTGCGCTAATTAAACATTTTCCCAGAGTGGTAGTGTTTGACGTCTGCAAAAGACAAATGTTTCGATGGACAATTTTAGGAATTTAAAAATTTGGCAAGAGAAAACATCTTAGGCTGTGGTTTTCAGCTGTTATCAAAGGCTCAGGGGCAGTTTTTGTATGTTGCTTAGATTTGGGTAGTCAATGACGTCAAGTTTAACTCACTGGTTTTGTGCAGAATGTCTCCTATCTGGGGATAGGGGAGGCAAACCACAAATACTTTCAGAAATAGGGAAGTGACAACAGTGTCCTTGCCACATTCAACAGCCCACAAATAATTGGTGATATTCATTTAATAATAAAGGAACTCAAGAAAAAAAGATCAGCCCTTTACTCCTAAAAGAATACGCCCTTCAGTGGACCCTGTCATGGCCCTGATTATGTGTGTAAAACAGCTTTGATCATCTTCATCAAGTAGTTTACAGGCCTCACTTAAATTCAGCTCAAGAAATATTTTGATGCCCACTGAGCTAAGATTCCACTATAGCTAATTAAATTATAGTTTCTACAGCAGTTAAAAAATACATGTGAGTGCACACGTGTGTGTATACACACGTATAGTGAGGGGTTTTTCTGAGCGAGAGGGAAAGGACAGGAAATAGCTTCAGAAAATATTGAAAGCTGGGTGTTATCCTGAGACAGACATACAAGCACGGATTTCATTAACATTTTAAACAAAGGAGGGAAAGGGTTTTAGTCCATAAAGCTAAAAGGTTCTCATCAACTATTTATATGAAAGTCCTTATTAGCATTTGTTTGACTCAAACCCCACAAGAATTCCTTTTTTAGCAACTATCATTACCGAGGACCCGTGCCTGGCAGGCCCTGTCCTAGGCTCTGGGGACACAGGGGAGAATGAAAACGGCCTGGCCTCTGCTTTAGAGGGAGGAGGGGTTTGTGTGCAGTGAGTGAGGAGAAAGAGCAGATGATGAAATACAATACGATCAGGATCCACGTGGAAGGGATGCCATGTGGCCAGGAACACGGAGAGGGTCCTACCCCAGTCTTGGGAGCCGGGGCGGGGGCGTCAGGGAGCTCTTTTCTAAAGAGGTGTTACCGAAGCCAGTGCATCTCAAATTCGGCTCTGCTTTGGAATCACATGGAGAGTTAAAAAAAAATCCAAATACCCAGGCCACCCCACAGAATCATTAAATCGGGATCTTTGAGGGTGGGACCCAGGAATCAGCAGTTTATAAATCCCCAGGTGATTTCAATGTGCAGCCGAAATTGAGAACCACTCATCCGCATTGACACCTGGAATGGCAGAACGTCTCACTCTCTACTGGACAGGTAAAGGGAACAGGTGAACAGAACTTCCCAGCCGATTGCCTCTGCCTTCTGGGATCCGGCTGCAAAATTCTGACTTTGCTATGTTCACATACCCTCAGATTCCCCCAGGAGCAAAGTGACAGTTTGCAGCCAGGAAAGGACACAGGAACTTCTCCCCACTTCCTCCACTTTAAAGGCTTCCTCTAACACCATTAAATTAGTAACTCCCCTCCTTTTCATCCCGTGATTCTGCCTGCCCTGTTTCCCATGATCGCACCAAACCCAAGTACCAGCTTAACACTCCGAGAGGAGAGGGGAGCCTCTCACCAGTGTCCCCACCGGTGTTGAGGAATGCCAGTGCTGCTTTGAGAAAAGGCCTTTGCTGTCGCAGGCAAGTCACGGAATTTACAAAAGAGTTCACCTATTTTTTCGAAGATGCAGGTTTTGGTCTTAGATTTCACTAGTGATTTCCCATCATCTTAATAGCTATACACAGATCTCTTTGACTAAAAAAAAAAAAAAAAAAAAGGATGTGTCTTATAGTTGTTGGGGCAGTACCTGGAGACATGGGTTGAAGGCAGTAATATTATGTGAGTATTACTGTGATATTTTAGATACAGGCAAATATACTAAGAAGGTATGAAGCCTTCTGGCTTTTTGTTTTTTGTTAGGGGTGAGGCACTATAGTACTCAAAGCACACAACACAGATCACTACTCATAGTTCTTTTTTTTTTTTTTTCTAAAGAAAAAAGCCTAAACATAGTTCTGTAGCATTTATTTTGCTACCCAAACTATTTTTATAACACTGAATTTAGAAAAATAATTTAGCTAGCGTTACACCTTGAGAAGAGGTCCTGTGGTAGGTGCTAAGCGCATTTTCCCTACATGTGTTTTCAAAGCTTCTCTCGGATGGTTCTAGATCACGTGGTTAATTCCTTAGGTTACTGTGAGAAGCGGTATTCTTTCTCTCCTTGGGGAGCCTTCGACTCTCTGAATCCCATTTCTGGGATTAATAGTAGTTATTACCTCTTGGTTTAAAGACTTCACGTGTACTGTTTCAGAAAAGATAGCAAAGTATATATGAGATCATATGCATGCTCACGGTATTTCCCAGACTTTATATACTAATGGGGATAGGCTTTCCTACAAAGAGAACTGCTAAGAAATGCCAGATCTTGACTGGCCTTAGCCTCATTTCCGTCTCCTGATGGGGGGGGAGGCAACATTCTTCACCTCTGTTTAGGGGGTGCTTGGAGTCAGGCCCTGCTGGAGACTCAAGTCCTGGAGTGTCCCCCACAGTGAGAACAATCTGGTGGCATTGGCACTGTGGAAAGACGCCAGGGTCCCTGCCTTCTGGACACGGCAGGTGTGGGTGAGATCTGGGTCACAGAGCACCAAATGACACCCTATGGCACCCACTGCACGGCTGCTTGTGTGCTGGATGTGGGCCAGTGTGGAATGGCGTCCAGCTGGCTGCCCAGGAGGACAGTCCTCCAGGAGAAAGTCGTCCTGGTCCAGAACTGCTGACCTGATTTTGGGGGTGGGGGGAGGTGGTGGTTATGAGAAATCCTAATGTACTGGGAGGACGGTTGTGAAAAAGCAATGCATTTGTGTGTGTTGTGTGTGTGTGTGTGTGTTTAAGCAGTGCCTTTGGAAAGGAGTTTTAGCCACTTCCTCTCCATCTAGACAGCTGACCCCAGCAGAGATGAGGTGAGTTACTCATGGAAGTAAGGGGAAGGTGTTCTCTAGAGCCTTAATTCTTCAACTCAGACCACCCTGGGCTTCTTTCCTTCTTTGGCAAGGGCGAGCCTCACTGACCTGGTCAAGTCCTCAATGTCCACCAGCATGGCGTCTTGCTCCGTGTGCAGCTCATCTCGGATGAGGAGCAGCTGGACCAACTCTTCATTCAAGCCTGGATCGGAGAAAGGGGGCATTTACGAACGGACACAATCGCATCCAAGTCAGCCGCTATATGGACCATTGCACAAGTTACTCTGGCTAAGATTTAGAATTCTTACGTTAGCCCTTCACAGCCCAGGAGAAGTCCTCGGTTTGAGAACATGACTAGTTGGCATAATTACAGAAGTGTTGGAAGAAAAGGGGTAAAGTAGGTAGTATTTCCAGTGACAGTCACATTAAAGTGGGAAAAGAAATCGTTAGCTGTTAGGAAAATAGCTAAAATAACAGTGAAGGCTGTTCTCAGCAATATCTAAGTCCTATCTCAAGAAAAGCGAAAGCCAGATGCGTAAGACCTTGAAATCTCTGGATGAGTACCAAGGAGAAGATTCCTTAGGATTTATACTGGGAATAAAACATATGTAGATAGAAACATTTCTAATCGTCCTGAAGTCAGTGCACTGGGTGAATTTGGCTCCTATTCCTGAAAAATAGGAACAAGCAAGGGGCTCTCTTATTTTTAACCCTTAGACCGAAGCTTTTAGGTCTGGACACAGGGACACATGCACCATAGCGTTCATTTAGCAGCAAGAGCTCTAGGCCCAGAAACAAAGGAAAGGAAGGAGGTCTTCCGCTCGGTTCTCCTTGGAAGTGCTTTTAGAAATTCTGACTTCAAATGATGTATTGATCTGCCTTTAGTTCAGATTAGTTTCCAATTTTAAAAAGGGAGGGGAAAAATCATACAAAGAGATCTAAATTCATCTACTACTAAAAAAAGCTGGATGATAATTTTAGTATTTAGAAGTCTAAGGAAGACGTTTCAGTAGTAAAATATCAGAAAGCCTTTTTGGTCCTTGAAAGAATTACAGTCCTAGTAATTTACTCTCAACTAGAATTAAAATGTAGTAGAATTTAAAAAAACAACAACTCTGTGAATCTATGGTTTCTTTTTTTTTTTTTTTTTTTTTTTTTTTTTTTTTTTA